GATACGGCGCTGAACGAACGAGTGATCCGACAGCAGTATGCCCTCTATGACGCTGCGGTTGAGAACACCCGGAAGCGGAAAGACCTTCCAGGCCACATCGTCCAACGCATCGAGGCCGCTGCCGAACAATCTACCAAACACTTGCACTCCCAGACCAAAGAGGTCGATCAGCTCGAAGCCACTAGAGCCGAAGAAGCCGCTAATGAGCCTCGGCAGAGGTGGGACGTCTTGAATGGTAAACCAATCATCGCTCTTGCTCCTTTGCTCCACATCTGACTTTTCTCTCCTCTGTCTTCCAGCTGAGCCGCCCAATATCCAAGAAACACAACAAGATTTCACTGGTGCTAATCAAGCTATCTGTAAACTGATCCAAGTGAGCCGAAATCAACATTTTCAAGCCTCCCATTACATATACTGACCCTGCCCCTCTTTCTCACTTAGTCCCTGCCTCAATTAATCCAAACTGCCTCTCGAGCCATCAACTTGCACGACGAAGTAGCAAACGCATTGAAATCCGCTTGACTTACATCCATCTTCAAACGCACTTGTACCAATTTTGAACTAGACTTCGTTCTTTCCCCTGTTGTTTTATTATTCACTTTACAGCTCCTCTCATGTACGCTTTTATTGCGATTGTTTTTATCAGTGATTCGTCTACCAGCACATGTATTTCTATCAATCAGTAAACGAATTCAGACCAATTTGGAATGACTCTGGGGACTGTATGTCTAGGTCATCTCACCGGAACACAGTATGTATATGTTCATGACTTTTGCGTTTGGTGTGGACTTCAGAGAAACATGCATGTCAACCGTCAACATTTCATGCTGCCGATTATTTTGATCCACCTGACATGCAGGCAAAATGTGCATCAATTTGTATTAATATCATCCCGTCTTTAACACGACAATGGCGTTTCCTGTAGACCTTGTAAAATCTCAAATCAGATCAATCCGGCCGCGGACAATAAGATTTTCAGTTATCCTGAATGTGCTTCTTAACATGTCAAACTGAGGCTTTAAAGCTGAACTCCAAAATCCAAGTTTTTTGGATTTCACACAAGGTAACATGCTTGCTTGGGTCCTCACTACCGACGCAATTTTGATATTAATAATTGTATGAGAAGAAGGAATATGGACTTATTTGGATAATACTCACAGGTGAACTTGTGAGGTAAGACGTTACCATATCCTAGGAACTATATTGATCCATGGAAGTTTTGAAATAAATTGCTGAGAAGGCTGAAAATGAATGTTTACAGGTTCCAGGAATTTCATCCCGCACAGACAAACCGGACATCACTTTGATTATGATCATAATCATGACCTCATAAAAGCACATTCTGTGTACATTCACATCTCTCCAAAAAAGAGAGTACAGGGGGGCTCAGGTACAAAGCCCATCTACTCAGGGAGGGGAAGAGCCTGAGCTGTGAGTAAAACCCCCATCTCAACCCAATCGTGAGTTCAGATTCTCTGTGTGGCATTTACAAATTGATCAAGCTAAACCATCTTCTTCCAGCAAGGATGTAACAGATCTGATCCCCGGATCGGTATTTATCGGGGATCGGATCGATAACAGTTCGGATGATACCCAAGTGTAAGGCATACAGCCCGCATCTCCTGGGCTCCGGATCGAGACCGGATCGGGATTGCAATGTGTCCCGATCCCGATCCGATACCATTTCGATACAATACCATGGGATCAGATCACCCTTAGCGATCTGATCCCTTTTTTTTCGATACCTGGTATCAAAAAATCGATCCGATCCGATAAATTGGCCGATACCGTATCGGATCGGATCTGTTTCACCGTTGCTTCCAGTTTGTGACAAGGGTGCATAACAACCAGGTTGTTCGAAGTATATCAGCATGTGAGTATGTTCTAAGGTACAACAAGTAACAACGGGAGGTCCACCGGCCTAATAAACAGATCTCATTTGCTGGCATACCTCAAGTGTGGTGTAATGATGCGCCGCCAACCCTAAAGGAGTGGCCTAAAAGCCGGTGTTCCCTGTTTGCTGACAGCACCTCTTGATGGGTGTGTTGGGCTGCAGAAAGGTGTCAGCAACCCATGTAGGACACCGACTGGTGTCCTGTATGGGTTGCTGAACTAATCTGGTTGCTTTGTTGAGGCCGGAGGGAACCCTCCAGCCTTTGAGACAATGTACAGTCTTGACATATTCTTCCAGTCATTGAGATGGATTTCTGGGTATATTTGCCTGCAAAAAAACCTCCATACCCACAGGTACACAGGTAGCCGCCCTAGCAGACCTGGCGGGCGTCAGGATGCAAGTGGGTTGGGTCGACCCGCAGGATACCCGCAACCTGGCGGGTCACAGGTCGGGTTTGAGCAGGCTAGGATTGGAAATTGACCTGACCCAGATTTAAACCAACAGGTTGGTGGGGCAGGTATGTGCAGGACGGAATGTATTTGGGTTGGCTTGAGATTGACCAACTTACTTGATTGAAAGGAAGAAAGTGATTATTTGCTGGGTTGACCTGGACCCAACCCAAGACCTGACCTGACCCAACCCGAGGCACTGTGTATTTGGGCCGGGTTTGGTCAACATTTTACAATTTTTGCCCCAAGGATTTGGCGGAGCGGGTTTGGTCACCGTTTTTCGACCCAAACCCAGCCCACTTGCATCCTGAGGCGGGTGCGGGTGTCCAAAATATTGGATTTTTGAGGCAGGTACCCACACCCGCTACTGGTCCCACTGCACCGATGACCACATATCCAGTACTGGATATCCTGTAAAAAATTGGGGATATGCTGTAATCAACACTTTCTGTTTCTTTTTTTTAGTAATTCCTTTGATGTTTCATATAAATTCTGTAACTTTTCTTTAAACTTACTGAGAAGTTACAGAATAGTTACAGTTAACTTGAAGAAAAGTTACCAAAAATTTACAGAATGCCCAAAATGAATCACAGAAAAAAAAAACAGGAAAGTTTGGTGAAGTTACTTTAACTTTTCTGTAAACTTTCTGTAACACTTCTCTAACTTTTCTGTAACTTTGCATTAAATTAAAAGAAAAGTTACAGAAGTTACAGAAAATGCAAATGAATTGCCGGAAAAAAAAAGATCACAGAAACGTTTGACCACAGAATATCCCCATTTTTTACAGGATATCCAGTACCGGATATTTGGTCAGGGTTGTAGTGGGATCCCCGGGTATGAAGCAACATCTCTATTTGATATACCCCTGATTCCATTCAAATTATGCCCTAGGATGCTGAATTATTACTAATTACTCATACTACAAACTATCAACTTCCTTGATGAAGAGTTGGAGCACCAAACACACCTTTTTCTGACCAACTTGGTAATTTAACATTTGCATTTTTCCAGAAAAGACAAACTAAATGAGTGGGGTTTTCTTTCAAACTTCTTAGCCTTTGTGGTTTGAAATTTTCTACTGGAACCCAGGAATTAACACACAAAATGTATGGTGAGAAATGCATAATTTGCATAGTTTAGTTTGGACATGATGCACAAGAATTTAATTTCTTATATGTTTTTGTCTGAATTACTGGTTTCTTTAGGAGGAAAGTTCTGCCAATACATCTTCAGTTTGCTTGCAGCCCTTGTTTGCAAATATCTAACATTAACCAAAGTGCTGGTATCCCTTTCATGTGAATTGTATGAACACTTGGAGTGATGGGAGAGGTGAGGTAAATTCTAGATTACCAGATTGTCAAGCTCATCATTTAACCCTGTAAGATATAATTGTTACAAATGCAAACAGAAGCTCAACCAAGCATTCAAGACTCCATCACTACAAGAAAAATTTTTACAACTGTATCCAGTTGAAATGTGACTTGACAAATGTGCCTTTGTAATATGACATGTCAACTGTAAACAGTTGCCCAGCTTTTTATTGCAGTGCATCCAAGACTGGAATCTCCAGGTAATCAATCTCATTAATTTTAGTTGATTCCACAAAAGACATTGTAAGCTTACCTGGTATCATCTGCTGGGATGAGACTCACAATCAGAAACATGTGTTAGGTACCATTCAAAAGACATTGCTTATGTCAGCCACCCACAATTTTCAAAAATTATATTTTCCTGTAGAACATTTAATTACGCTGGGCAAGGTCTCATAGCTCACACAGAGGAACCCCATCAAGGGTGTGTTGATAATTGCACACCTCCCCCCTCCCTGCCTGCCCACGCCCATGCCCCTTGGAAGGCTGTTTCCAAGGTAAAACAGGATTCCGAGGGGCGTGGGCTTGGGCGGGCGGGGGGGGGGGGGCTTGTGATTATCAACGCACCCATCAAGGTAGCTCCAATGAAAGGAAACATTTACATCTCCTTGTGCTATTGGTCAAACAAGCATCTGTAAATTGATTTACAGTTTTATTTTCTGACAGAGTATTTGAGCAGAACTATATCATGAATGATTACAAGTTGCATGAAAATCTCAAACAACCTGTCCAATTAGGAAAAATTACATACTTGCAGAATCTAAAAGTTTTTGCAAATGCACAAAGCTTATCAATTCATTTGTATTTCTTTCATACCAGGCAAATAATGAAGCCATATGTGTAACTGAAGGTTTCTTTGTCTTGTTATATGATTGATATCTAGGCTCAAATGGTAACTAATTCAAACCAAGAAGTGAAATCATTGGTGTAGGATGAGTTATTTGTATCTCAAACAAAAATTCTTGAGTATAAGTTCTTGGATTGGCAGCATAGGCAGGACATACCTGGTCAAAGAGCACACCACAGGCAGATAGAGTCACAGGCTGACAGATACCCAGGTATTCCCATGCCCCAAGCCACTCCTCAAGTAAACAAATACCTTCTAGCCATACCCAATAACTGAGGGTATGTTGTGGGCAGCCTAAGTGTTGCCTAATGCCCTTGGGTTGGGGCACCAGATAAATTGAAATTTGTGAGTTACCCAGTGGGGTCCACCAATTCCCAGACACCAGTGTGTGTATCAAACTTTGGTAAGCCTCATCCTGACTCTGAGTCCTGAACCCTGGGGTGTGGATTCAGGAAATACCCTGAACCTCATGGGTTGGGACAATGCCTTAGGTTGCCTGAGTTTTAGGGGAAGTATTGGGTCTGAAAGTGGAAGGGAGTTCCAAAACAAAGGAAATTTCTACAAGATTGGATCTTGATCAACATATATACATACAAAAGAGCTACAAATTGAAAGTAGAGTATTAAAAAAACCCTCTGAAGTCTTAGTCAAACAATTACCAAGATGTAGCCAAATCAATTTTGGGAGTTGTTTGACCAGGTCGATGATTTTCCACATGCACAACTCCCAAATCTGACAAGTCTAATGTCAGATTTGATGAATTGACTCCAATTTGATCTCATCATTTTTTATTCAACAACTCACATGTTGTATTCCAAACTGGTCAATTTCAAACAACTCCCAAAATTGATGTCTATTACATCCTTGGAGTTGTTTGACTAAGAATTGGGAGTTTTTTCCATTAACATAAAATTATTGTAGTGTATCCAGAAAGTAAGCCAATGTGCACACACATATATAAA